AGCTCGGCTCATGGATAGGGTTGTTGGCTTGCTCACCGAGCTGACTGGTTATTGTCAGACGTTTCATCACCATGCTAGGTAACATCATCAGTGTAGCCTCCGATGAAGCGATGTTGTTCTACTCCGCTTGGAATTTAAATGGTCTGAGTCAAAGAACATTTAAGAACTGACAACGAGACTCCTATGACCACTAGGAATCATGGTAGCAGACAAACCCACAGCCACACTACAACAAACACTCACCGGGACCAAAGACCCCATACCCATGACATGCAGGACCAATGTAATTTACAAAATACCTTGCAATGACTGCAACAAACGTCACGTCAGCCATACCGGAAAGAAACTAGCCTTGAGGATATACGAACACCAGCTAGCAGCAAAACAACATGACCAACTTTCCCTCATCTCAGTGCACTCGGACAATGAAGGCCATCAATTTTACTGGGACAACGTGACCATCCTAGTTCAAGCCAATCACAGACATGCACAGGAATTCCTAGAGGCTTGGTTTTCAACCTGTATTGCAATCAACAAACATGTGGAATTAGAACCCATATACAAACCCGTACAGAATAGAACCGGAAATGACACAACCCAGATAAACAGTCCAGATCGTATAAATACCAAGTGGAATAGAACAACATCACTTCATTGGAGGCCACACTGATGATGTTATCTAGCAGGGTGACAAAACGTCTGAACGATAACCATCCAGCTCGGCAAGCAAGCCAACAACCTCAAAGATAGTTATCTTTGCACCATGACATATTCTGTTTCCTTCCCATATTCTGACTTGTTATTGTTTGATATCCAGCCTACAACAGTGGTGCTGTCAGCGAACTTGTAGATGGTGTTTGTACGAAATTTGGCCACACTGTCATGACCATACAGGGAGTACAGTAGGAGACTGAGTACGCATCCTTGCGGAGTGCTGGTGTTGAGTATTATTGTGGAGGTGGTACTGTTGCCTATCTTCACTGATTGCAGTGTGTGGGTCAGGAAGCTGAGGATCCAGTTGCAGAGGGCAGAGCCAAAACCTAAGTTCTGAGACTAGTTTGTTTGGGATTATAGTGTTGAAGAGAGAGCTGTAGTCAATAAGTAGGAACAAAAACAGAAGTTGCTGGAAAAGCTCAGTAGGTCTGGCAGTATCTGTGGAGAGAAATCAGAGTTAACATTTCGGGTCGAATGACCCTTCCTCAGCAGACCTGAAACGTTAATTCTGATTTCTGTTCACAAATGCTGCCAGACCTGCTGAGCTTTTCCAGCAACTTCTGTTTTTGTTTCTGATTTACAGTATCCGCAGTTCTTTCAGTTGGTAGGTAGGAGGCTGACATCCAGATGTTCCAGGGATGAATGAAGGCCTGTGGAAGTGGCATCTGCTGTGGGCCTGTTCTGCCGGTAGGCAGATTGCAAGAGTTCAAGGCAGACTGGGAGGCTAGAACTGATGTGAGCCATGATTACTGTCTTGAACCACTTCATGATTATGGAGGTCAGAGCCACCGGGCAGTAATCTTTGAGGCACTTTGCATGTATTTTAGAATCATAGAATCATAGAGTAATACAGCATGGAAACAGGCTCTTTGGCCCTAACTGATCTATGCTGACCATGGTGCCCACTCAGCTAGTTCCAATTGCCCGTATTTGGTCCATATCCCTCTTAAACCCTTCCTATCCATGTACCTATCCAAATGTTTTATAAATGTTACTATTGTACTTGCCTCAATCACTTTCTCTGGCAGCCCATTCTATATATGCACCACTGTCTGTGTGAAGAAGTTTCCCCTCTCACCTTAAACCTGTGAGTTTTCAATTCCCCATCCCTGGGAAAAAGACTACATGCATTCATCCTATCTATGCCCCTCTTGATTTTATACACCTCAATAAAGTCACCCCTCATTCTCCTATCTTCGAAGGAATAATGTCCTATCCTGGCCAATTTCTCCCTATAACTCAGGCCTATTTGCCCTAACAGCATCCTTGTAAATCTTCTTTGCACACTTTCCAGTTTAACTATGTCTTTCCTATAACAGAGTGACCAAAACTGTACACAAAACTCTGAGTGTGGCATCACCAATGACTTATACAACTGTAACATAATGTCCCAACTCCCATACTCAATGCCTTGACCGATGAAGGCCAGCATGCTAAATACTTCTTCACCACCTTGTCTACCTGTGATGTTGCTTTCAATGAACAATGTACTTTACTCCTAGGTTCCTCTGTTCCACAACTCTCCTCAGGACATTTACATCTACTGTATAAGTTCTACCTTGGTTTGACTTCTCAAAGTGCAACACCTCACACTTGCCTGTATTGAATTGCATTTGTCAATCCTCAGCCCACTGAGGGATCAAGATCAAGATCCCTCTGTAATTTTTGATAACCTTCCTCGCTATGAATGATACCTCCTAATTTTGTAACATCCACAAACTTATTAATCATGCCTTGTACATTCACATCCAGATCATTTATGTAAATAACAAACAACAAAGGTCCCAGCACTGACCCCTGTGGCACACTACAAGTCACAGGCCTCTAGTCCGAGAAACAACCTTCACCCGTCACCCCCTGCTTCCTACTATCGAAGCAATTTTTAATCCAATTAGCTGGATCTCCTTGCAACTTAACTTTCATGACAAGCCTGCTGTGCGGGACCTTGTCAAAGTCCTTACTAAAGTCCATGTAGACAACTTCCACTGCCCTACCCTCATCTATGCTCTTTGGTTACCTCTTTGAAAAGCTTTAAAAGATTTGTCAGACATGACTTCCTGCGCATAAATCCATGCTGGCTGTCCCAAATCAAACCTTGTCTATCCAAACGTTGGTTGATCCTGTCCCTCGGAATCCTCTCCAATAACCTGCCTACCACTAATGTCAGGCTCACTGGCCTGTAGTTCCCTGGCTTGTCTTTGCTACCTTTCTTAAACAATGGAACTTCACCAGTGGCTAAAGATTGATGCAAAAATCTCTGCAAGGGCCTCTGCAATTTCTTCCCTAGCCTGCCGCAACATCCGAGGATGGACTTGGTTAGGCCCAGGGGATTTATCCACTGTAATGTGCTTTAATGCTGCAAACACCTCCACTTCGGTAATATGTATGCAGTCCAAAACATTGCCACTTGTTTCCCTTATTTCCCTAGCATCCATGATTCTGTCCTCAGTAAACACTGATAAGAAATATTCATGAAAAATTTCCCTTATCTCCTTTGGTTTCACATCTGATCTTTAAGGGAACCTATTCTCTCCCTAGCCACCCTTTTACTCTTAATATAGGTATGGAATCTCTTAGGATTATCTTTAACCTTATCTGCCAGATCCGTCTCATACCTTCTTTTCGCTCTTCGAATTACCCTCTTAAGTGTGCTCCTACACTTTTTATATAATTGACCATGAAAGGGTTGCTGACCCCGAAATGGTGGTCTTCTTGAAGCAGCTGGGGACCTCAGACTGTAGTAAGGAGAGGTTAAAGATGTCAGCAAATACTTGCACCAGCTGGTCCACGCAGGATCTGCACAGACGGACACTCCGTCTCGGTCCGTCGCTTTCCTCGGGTTCACTTGCAAGAAGGCCGATTTGATTTGTATCTGATTTCCAGCATCCGCAGTTGTTTTGGTTTTTGCTTTGGCTGAAGGATGGAGATTGGCAGCAGGAAATTGGTTTAATTGTATCTGGACCTAATATAAACATGGTTTTCAGTTACAGATTAGTTGAATTGGAGACCGAGATGGCTAACTTTACAGATGTGGAAGTAGAAAGTGGAGAAAATTTAAGGGTCAGCAGCCCTTTCACAGTCAATCAGTTTGTGAACGGTTTGATTCCCCACCAAGTTAGTAGGCAAGGAAGAGGAGAGTCAATGGTGAAGTTATGAAATTTGCACCAGGAATTGAAAGCTGATGGAGTGTGTGTGTGTGTCGGTGCGGTAGGATGACTGAAACCATGACACACTATCGCTTCTTATGACTGGATAATGAATGGGTGGACAGGATGTTGAGGAGGGATGCAGGGGGTCAGGAATGGTGGCATCTGTGGTCGATGATGTGCTGGTTGTGGAAGCTGTTGTATGGAAAAAAAACTTATATTTATGCCACATACAGTTTTTGGAATTTTTATAATGCTTTGTACTGTTAAGCTGTATGGTTTTTTTTGTTGAACTCCTGTATCTTTCAGGAGTCTTGGCTTTTTCTAATGTGTGCTTGAGCTGCTTGGACTTCAGTCAACAAGATGTGTCTTGGTAACAAGCTGACCAGAATAAAAAAAATCTGTAAAATGTAATCACATTCTGTGGCAAAATCCATGAGTCATCCATCTGTAGTAGGTTTTTGCCTGTAGCTTTGGAAATACTTATGTTCAGTGCAACAACAGGACTTGAGCATACAATTTAGATTGCCTTGCAAGTGCAGTACTTCAGTCCAGCAGTTGTTCAATTTAAAGTGCTTTATAAATGTGCCATATAAATGCTAGTTTAAGAAAAAGTAAAATGAGTATAAGTAAAAATGTCTTCATGCATTTGGTTCCAAAAGATTTGTCTGATCATTGAAGTAGTGAAATTAGACTTACTTTTAGTACTTGAGCAATTCTCATTTCACATATATTTTATAGCTCCTGGAAAGCCATTGGTAAATTTGAACACATCAGCCAATCATGGAGGGGCAGAACACGATAGAGTAGAGTATGCTAATTGTGTGCAACACTCAGGCAAGTTATGTAAATGCGTAGTGGAGAGCAATGAAACTTAGAACTTCTTTTCACTCTGGGGAAAATCTTCATCGTTCATTTAGGAAGTAGTGGGCCATTTTCAATTATCTTTCCCATCCCAGTCTATCTTCTGTAATTAGTGTTGCCTATGTGCATCATTTGTAATTGCTCTTGTATTATCAGTAGTTTATGTTGACCCTGTTGTATTTTATAATTCTCACTGCTTGCCATTTGTTTTAGTCTACATTTACTTGCGGATTTAAAACATACAGAATCTAACTGGAGTCATATTAATAATTATAGAATTTTCATCTTTTTTCCTGAAGGTCTTTGAGGCCCAACCAGTCTACTTCATAATCCATATCTCTGAGATATTGCTGAAAGCAGAAGTTTGACGAATGAATCCCTTGTGACCAAAAACACACAGAATTTACATGGCGACAATGCCTACAAGTAACAGTGCCGTTCTGACAGGATAATTGACTTCTACGTCATCCAGTCCTGAAATTACAAATGGCATTGCTTCATCCAGATCAAGATACTGAAAGAGTGGAATCTGTTTCCACCCAAATGATCACCGAGATTCCCAAAACTTTAAATTGTAGTAGGTCAAAACTGATTGTGCACTTGGATTTAAATAACACAGTTCTGCTGTTTGATACAGTTACCAGACAAGGGCCCCGGAGAGCGCTCAGTTCCTTTCTAACCACTGTTACTTGGGGCCGGATCAATCAGGAAGGTAAGAAATCGTATTAAACCATAACAAAAATATTTCAACTTTGTTTGGCTAGGGAAGTGGTTATAGTTCAGTGTTGACGTTAACAATCCAACAAAATAACCTGGAAGGAAAATAAAAAATATAATAATTAAATAATATTTAACAATTTGAATGTGAACATAGAAGGTATGGTTAGTAAGTTTGCAGATGACACTAAAATTGGAGGTGTAGTGGACAGCGAAGAAGGTTACCTCAGACTACAATGGGATCTTGATCAGATGGGCCAATGGGCTGAGGAGTGGCAGATGGAGTTTAATTTGGATAAGTGTGAGGTGCTGCATTTTGGAAAGGCAAATCAGGGCAGAACTTATACACTTAATGGTAAGTTCCTGGGGAGTGTTGCTGAACAAAGAGATCATGGAGTGCAGGTTCATAGTTCCTTGAAAGTGGAGTCACAGGTAGACCAGGATAGTGAAGAAGGTGTTTGGTATGCTTGCCTTTACTGGTCAGTGCATTGAGCATAGGAGTTGGGAGATCATGTTGCAGCTTTACAGGACATTGGTTAGACCACTTTTGGAATACTGCATGCAATTCTTGTCTCCCTGCTATAAGAAGAATGTTGTGAAATTTGAAAGGGTTCAGAAAAGATTTACAAGGATGTTGCCAGGGTTGGAGGGCTTGAGCTATAGGGAGAGGCTGATAAGGCTGGAGCTGTTTTCCCTGGAGTTTAAGAGGCTGAGAGGTGATCTTATAGAGGAATTAGGCTAAAAGGGGCCATGAAATGTCTTTCGCAAACAGGAGCCTGGAATGCACTGCCAGAAGAGGTGGTGGAAGTGGGCACGTTGACAACATTTAAGAGGCACCCAAATGGTTAAACGAGGAGGGAGAAAATAGAGGGATACGGACCGAATAAGTGCAGAAGGTTTGTTTTTTAGATTTAGTTAGGGCATGATGATCAGCACAGGCTTGGAGGGCCTGTTCCTGTGCTGTGCTTCTTTTGTTTTTTTTGTTCTATAAAACCATGAGGGGTGTGGATCGATAAACAGACAAGGTCTTTTCCCTCGAGTGGAAGAATCCAAACCTAGAGGGCACAGGTTTAAGCTGAGAGGGGAAAGATTTAAAAGGGACCTAAGGGGCAACTTTTTCTTGTGGAAGGTGATGCGTGTATGGAATGAGGAGGCTTGTACAATTACAGCATTTAAAAGGCATCTGGATGGGAATATGGATAGGAATGGTTTAGAGGGATATGGACCAAATGCTGGCAAATGGGACTAGAGTATTTGGGGTATTTGGTTGATGTAGACAAGTTGGACCGAAGGGTCTGTGTCCGTGCTGCATATCTCTATGACTCTGTGACTCTAGGAATAAATAAATAATAATCCCACAAAGTTCTGGAATACACTTGATCAGGTTCTAGGGATTTATCCACCTTTACACGTTTTAAGATATCCAGCACCTTCTCTCCTGTAATATGGACACTTTTCAAGACATCACTATTCATTTCCCCAAGTTCTCTAGCTTCCATGTCCTTCTCCACAGTAAATACTGACATGAGATACTCATTTAGTATCTCACCCATCTTCTATGGTTCCACACATAGATGACCTTGTTGATCTTTACAGGGCCCTATTCTCTCCCTAGTTACTCTTTTGCCCTTGGTTCCATGTACCACATGGGCTTTGCATAACAAAAACATTTTAGTTTCAGTTTTGACATTTTCACTTGAGTTAGCCCCAAGAATATTTTAAGGTAAGAACATTTCAACTTTTCCATGATGCTTCTTGTGACGATGTGCCTCTTTATTTCATCCTAACCTACCTAATGGTAATTTTGAAGTCACACAGCTTTTGTTTTGTTAGTTCTCCACTAGAAGTAATAGTTTCTCTGTATTTACCCTGTTTGACATTGTTACCATCACAATGCCTTTATCAGAACCACTAGCAATGTGATATAGGTTAAGCTGATTACAATGTGAATTATGTTTCAGGAAAGTGGGAATGGCTGAGTAAAGTACCTTCCTTGAACCCACCCTGTGATGGTGCTGTGAGCTATTATTCGCAGTTCGGGAGGCCATTGGATTTCACAGAGACTGGTGATGGTTCCCTCTTTAAAAAGATTTTTATTGACCACCTACAGAAAGTAGAATGGATGGGTCCCCACAATGAGCTTCTGTCTATGACTGATGAAGATGGCAAAGAGTACCATCAGATCCTGCCAGCTTTCTTTGAGTTAATTGATTGTTTGTCATCACAAGGCAGAGAATTTGCCATAGTACTTCGAACCTTTGGGTCGGATTTGTGTAGAACATTAAAGACCATTCAGATCACCCTGTCAGGTCAACATCCTCAGTATCAAAATCTTCAAATGAAACATGTAAGCAAAACTTAATTTTCAGATATCTGCATAAACACTGGAATTTTTTTTAAGATTGGTCCAATAAACTATAGTGCTTATTCATTCTGATATTTTTCTGAACCAAACAACATGAATCCTGTATATTGGACAGAATTTAGTAAGGGTCAGAAGGGGCCTGACAACCAAATCTGAAGGTACCTCCCCAATGTTGCGAATACTGGGACCCCTCAAGGAATGAAGTACCTAATTAGTAGCAGAAACCCTGCTGCCGTGACTCTTGCCTCCGCTGGAACATTTGGTCGCTGTGTCTCCCCCCACAGGATGGGAATCTCACTCTTGAGAGTTGTCAGTCAGAAGCCAGAAGCTCTCTAGTGTCAGTTGTTGTTGCCAGTAACATGCTTAGGCCCTCACTTGGGTTTATCAATAAATCCTTACAACAAGGAAAGGTAGGGGTGGGTGAAGAAAGAGCAGAGGAAAGACATGGGTGTCACTCTGAACAGGGTCCCATTCTTCCAAACCTAATAGGGTTTGCTTGTCAGTCTCTCCATGTGGTGAGTTAACCAGAGGTAGCAGGAGGAGACCCTTAAGTAGGCATTAATTGCCTAATTAAGACCTTCAGTTTGTCCAGGCTAATAGGTGACCCACAAGTCTACCTTGGACTTAATGTGCGGTAACGATAGGATCCCAAACCCACACCCTCCCACTCCTCACACCGTGGAACTTGCCTACAGTGTGGAGGGGACACTAAACTCTGCTTCTACAGTTCTGAATCTTGGCACAAGAAGAAGGCCAGACAGGTTAGGCCTGTAAACTTGGAGTTGGTGACTTAATTGAAACATATAAAATCCTGAGGGGACTTGACCAGGTGATTGTGGAAAGGATGTTTCCTCGGTTGGGAGAATCTAGAACTAAGTGTTATTAGTTAACATTGAGGGAGGTGCCCATTTAAAACAGATGAGCAAGCATTTTTCTCTCAGAGGGTTGAGTCTTTGGAGTTCCCTTCCTCAAAAGGCAGTGGGCGCAGAGGCAGAAGTAGAATAAATACTTGATTACCAAGTGAATGAAAGTATACTAGGGATATGCAGGAATTTGAAGTTGAAGTTAAAATCAAAATCGAGTGGCAGAGCAGGCTGAAAGGGCTGAGTGGCCTACTCTTGTTCCTTGTGCATGTATTAATATTTTCACCTTGAACTTGTTACTTTCCTACCAGGAGGAAAAGAAAAACAGTCAGTCAAGTTAACCCAGATTACTGTTAAGCACCACCTCGTAGTTAGCTCAGGTGGAACCTTGGGGAAAGCCAAATATGGGTCATCTACTTATGCTTTTTGCATAATGGAATTTGAAGTGAATAATAATGAATTAGACAGGAAAAGGTATTTAATAACTGTTGAAAGATTAAAAGGTGTCCTTTTATGTGTGGATATGTTTAAACACTGTAATATAACTATAAATAACTTGGTTGTTCCAAATGAAAGGTAAATACTGCAGATACTGTTAATTGGAAATTTGAAACAGTGGATTTGGTGATTGGCATTTTTGGAGCTAACAGTTAAGTTAATGTTTGTGATCTGAATCCTTTGTCCAAATAGAGAGCTGCACTTGAAGCATTACCTTTTCTGTTCCCTTCACCTAGGTTGACTGGTCTACTGTGTTCTGTTTTAGTCTAGTTTTGTTTCATGAACAATTTAATGTTTAGAGATACAGTTAGATTTTTGTAACAGCTGACAGCATATGATTCTTCCAATCTAAGATGAAAGGCTTTTGTAAATCATTAACTAACAGATGTCCGTTTTTTTTTTCCTTTAGCTTCCATTGAGAATAGCACCGGGTAAAATCCGTTGTAACAAAAATAATGTTGTGTTGACCTCGGGATCTGAGCGGATTTCTACACAATCAGGTGCTAGAGCTCTGTATAACTATTTCTCTTCATTGGAAGGAATTGTAGGTTTTCAGGATCATTTTGACTGGTGAGTCTTGGAAGTTAATTGTCCACTGCAAATTTTAAGGAATACAATAGCATTTACAATAGCAAAATCAAAAAGAATTGTTTAGTTCCCAAATACTTTACTCAAATTTTAATTTGCAGATTTGAAAAAATGGATTGATTTCTACAATTCATTATTCACGAAAACAATCCTAACACCCGTATAATCAGCATGTTAACAGTTTGCTATTATTAGGAAATGGTGGGGATCCCTTCAAATAATCTCATACTGAACTTCCTAACTGTGACTAGTCACCAAATTTGTTATTGTGCAGAAGCATAATCCCAAGTATTAGAAAATTGCTTCATCGATTTTGAAAAAGTGTCTCATTTTCTTAATTTTTTCAGGTGGTCTCAGAATAGCTTCTCAAATGAAGGTGGTAAACCATTCTGGATTGATCCTTCTGAAACTGGAATACAACATATCTTTATAGATGACAATATCCGCCTGAATGATGCTGAGAGCATTGTTCATCCACAGGTACAACATTACTAGGATATTGATTTAGAATTTATGTCAATGACTGGATTCTGCAGCAAACTGACAAAATTCATTTCTAAAACCAAATCTGTGACCATGTAACTTGCATGTCTTCTCTGTAGATTTCATTGTGCTGCTAGTTTTGTGTGGTCTATACCATGTAATTAGTTCTTTGAAAAACAGGCTAGTTCTTTGGAAAAACAGGTTGGTGCAGAATCTGAACTATCTCAGTGAACATTGACATGGGGGAGCATATTTCTTGCTGCTGTGCAAGGTAGGACCATATTTTCTGTGAACCCTGAATCCTGAATCCTGAATCTGTATCCAGCTGAACAGAATTGTGTATGAACTCCCTACTTGGGAGTTGACTACAGATCCCTCTGCCTCTGGCACCTCCAGCTGCAAACTATTGATGTGATCATCATCTTCTGCCACGGTATCTACACACATGCAAGGCTGCACATGGGAAAGTACCTGTGAGGATAGATGGTGCATTTATAAAGTGTGACCAAGCTGCTCCTTCTAGAGGGAAAAAGTGTGTCATGGGTTGGAAATCTGCACTTGAAGAGATGATGAGATCTCACCTAGGAGATTAGAAACCTCTGTAATGTTGAGACTTCTAAGTGCTAGTCAGTGCACCTCTACTTCTTCAATCAACAATTTTCCCTGTGCAGTCACTGGGTTAACCAGGAGTTTTTGTTTTGCCAGGCACGAATTCCTCCTCACCCACATTCTTGTGATCTCCATTGTTGTTTGCTCCATGGCTGTTCGATAGAGGAAGGGTGCCCACCATCCCTCCCACCTTTTGGGTGCCTTCTCTCCTGTTCTTTTACAGCTATATGTCTCAGTGGTAAAAGCTCTCGGGAACCCTCTAGCTGTAAGCAATTCTGAGGACCCACTGAGTGCCCTGGTTGTACAGTTCTAGTTTAGAAGCAGCATGCATTCTGAGACTGCTCTGGTGGTGTTTCTGCTGGTTAGTGCAAGTCCTGGGATGTACTCAGTATGTTGGGGGCATTCCCTTTAGCAGAACATATGAGGTCATTAAATTCATGAAACACTGTAACTGAGTTCTCCTTGTCTCACCTTTGCCACTGTTGGCTATGGCCATCTGGAGCTTGATCTGTGTGGTCACCAAAGGTAGCCTCCTCTTCCTCCTCCTCCAGCTTCCAACATGAGATCCAGGTCTCCATCAATGAACAGGGGAGCAACCCTGCCCTATGTGCCAGTCCTCCTGTTCCATCCATGATTTCACATCCCTTTGCAGCGGTGAAAGGTTTCTACACAAACTGCAATTCTCTTTCAGGATAGCCAGCAGCCTTCATAATAGCTGCTTTGGAATATATAAACCAAAGTGAATTTCACGCTTGATGTATTCATCATTCCTTTTCAAGCTGGCTCTAATTGGTCAAGGAAACCACTTTGATTTGTATTAAGGGTGTACTGAACCCCACCCCAACTTCCCATGAAAATAACAGCTTTAAACAGATTTCCATCAGAGGTGGGCTTCTGAGCAAAAGTCAAACTTGGCTGTTGTTTCCCAGCTCCTTGGCAAAAATTTAACCCAATATTAGACAAATGATTTTGCTTTTCTAAATTCTTAATGGCTTTGTTTGAATATTGAGGACTGCCATAGTTTCTGTGCCAACATTTAGTTGATCATAAAAGTTCCATTTTGATTTGGTTAAAGCTATAACCTTCAGTTTTCAGTTCAGATATTTGTATTTTAGCTTTTGCCTGAAATCGCTGCCTTTCATTCAACACAATAGTGAATAAATCAATGTTCTAATTTTGAGTCAAGTCTGGGACTGGTTTATTTTTAACCTGTTTCCTCTAATACTGCACTCGTCATCATCCAAATTAAATAATCATTTTGCATCTAGTTACCTATAGTTCTCAATATTTTATCTGTTTTATCCCTGCTTATAATCACCTTTCTACAATGAGTTCTGTTCACTACTTAGCATCCTGGATGAAGGAGTCATTAGAGTCATACAGCACAGAAAGTACCCTTCAGTCCATCCAGTCAATATTGAAAATAATCCCAAACTAAACTAGTCCCACCTGCCTGCTCTTGGCCCATAATTCTCCAAACGTTTCCTATTCATGTACTTATCCAAATGTCTTTTTTTAAACATTGTAACTGTGGCCACATCCACCACTTCGTCCGGAAGTTCATTCCATACACGAACCACCCTCTGTGTAGAAAATTTGCCCCTCCATGTCTTGTTTAAATCTCTCATCTCTCACCTTAAAAATTTTTCCCCTAGTCTTGAAATCTCCCATCCTGGGGAAAAGACACCTAACATTAATCCTATCAATGTCCCGCATGATCATCCTTGAGTCATCGTCATTGCTGTTCATTAACTTTTCAGAAAAGTTTTAGAAAAATTAGAATACATTAAACCAGAAAATGCTGCTAAAAAAATTGTTTTAGCACATAATGTGAAAGGCTTATAGTACCTTGATTTCTGTTCTATTCAAATTTGCACTTGTGCTCAAGCGGTTTAAATAAGCATTCAACTTTTCATGCTTGTTTTGGATCATTGATAACTTCATACTGGCAATATGTTGGTGAATGGTCAATAACAATGAACACTTGTGTTTAACAGAAAGGACTTTTATAAGGATTCTTTCTGTAGAATACTTCAACTCCTACCATCCAATCTGCACTATGCTAAGTTAGCGTTTGCAAGCATCCAGTCACAGTAAATTGATTACTAGAATTTATGCACGCGTACTGATTGAATGTCTTTCCATTTATGTAATTTACAAAACCAAAGATACAGATGAAATGCTACCTTAGATAGAATAATTTGTCGTTTAGAACCTGTACCTCTAATTGACCTCATTGTACCAGTTACAATTTCCAGGATTTGTTATTTAGACAGTTTTTGAACTAAGTTCCATTCTCAAATATTCAAGGTCGTAAGGAATATTATAGGAAATCCAGTTATGTTCCAATTCCAGTGTCCTCCCACTCATTTTTTCTGACAGAGAAAGCCTAGATACATAAAACCCTTGCAGACACACAAGCCACTCTATTTTTTTTTTCAATCTCCCCTAACCCAGCCATTCTTAAGGTGATCAGGAAAGTCATTTCTGATCTTGGACATTGGTGGCTGATTGTTGCTATGGTAAACGAAGACACCAATTTTCAGTAATGCTGACCAGGAATGATTTGTGGTCTGCTCCATATTGGAGAGAAGAAACAAAGATTTGGTAAACCACCTTGTAGAATAGTTCTGTTTACTCCACAAATATGCCCCCAAGCTTCCACTGACCTGCCATTTAATTCCCGACCTTTCTAACGTGCTGACCTCCCTGCCTTTAGCCTGTGGCACTGTGGCAAGTTTGAGGAACAACACCTCATTTTTCAATATGGACTACAAGGTAAGCAAGTTAGAACCCCCTGAAGTTTGTGACTGTCTCACACTGTAAGGGACTTTTTTTTTTTTGAAGGGTCCCAGAAGCTGGATAATTGCCCAGTGGAAGTTTTAACTTCCTGGGAACTTGAGCATCAAAATTACCGAGTGGTGCCATCACACATCTTTTGGGGTCTAATGCTGTAACAGCTATCTTCCAGTTTGGGCATCTGCTTCTTGCACCACAGATGTTCCCTGCTGAATACTTCCTATATATTCTGATTTTTATTTCTAACATCTGCAGTACTTTGCTTTTTGCTAACTTGTGTGAATCATTAAATCTCTTTCACTTACCCTAAATGCATAGAAATTAATCTATGCCCTTTGGAGAAGTCTTGATCCCTAAAAGTATACAATTCATGTTGCATTTAATACTTGTCTTATGTGAAAAGTTGGAGAGATTGGTAGAAGTTGTTACCAATGAATGGAGTGGCTGTCACAGTGCTCCAGTAGAGCGCAAGCTGGAAGAACAGCATCTCATTTTCCACTTGTGAATTCTACAGCCTTCTGGACTCCATATTAAGTTCAACAATTTTAATGCTTGAGGCGCCTTCTCCAATGTCCTTATCTCAGGCCCCACACACCAGGCCTTGTTATGATATGGTCTGCTATTACACACAACCCATTGTTCGCCACTAATAATCCCCATTAGTAGATTGTCTTTTTTTTCTCCTAGGCTGACTGTTTTCCACTCCTTTGTCTATCCAACTGTCCTTCTATCTCTTTAGGCTCTATTTCCACCTATCGTTTACTCCAGAACCCCTCCTTCCACCCTGAGTTCTGCTTAAAAACAAACATTTTCCTAGCTACGGTCAGTTCTAAAGAAGGGTCACTGGACCTGAAAACTTAACTCTGATTTCTCTCCACAGATGTTGCCAGACCTGCTGAGCTTTTCCAGCAATTTCTGTTTTTGTTTCTGATTTCCAGCATCCACAATTCTTTTGGTTTTTAATGAATTATTGTATTTCACTTATTGATAGCAATTATTTGTTGAAATTTACCTGTACCAAACTCTGCACAACTTTCAAATCACCTATTCTTCTTTTGTTTAATAAATAAACAGGTTTTTGTGAAGGATGGTGCTGGAACCAGAACTGCGGCAACCTCAGAGTTGTATGATATTTGTCTCGTTCAGACAGACCTTCTCAGAGCCATTCGTGACCGGAGTTACTTCATCAAATGTGTTCAACAATGTGAAGAAAATTACAGTAAATACACTGCACTTTCAGATTGAAGATATCCTACCTAATATATTATCAGGCTGAGATAGGTGAAAAACTCAGGGCTTGTTTGAAAATGAAACTGGATAATAAAGCTGTATGTAAATTTGTTTATATTTGGGACAAAAGTGAAGACGACAGATAAATTGGATGAGTTGTAAAGAAATAATCACAGTGATGTATTAGTTTGAGAAATGATCTATTATTTATGGTTACTGTGGAAATTGTAATAAGCTCGATTCGCACATCAGAACATTGTTTGCAACAAGTCTTGTTCATTTGTATCGAACCAAGTCCAGACACTTATGATAACTGTAAGGAGTGAATGTACAGAGAAACATATCATAAAACCTATAGAAACAATGTATTCTTTCAAAATGACTAATACCAGCTGTTATTCCATTGTTCTATTTTTTTTATTTCAAAACTGCCTTGATTCACTGATTCCCAATGTGTCTGTGGAGACAAAGCAAGGAACACAAATTTCACACAACCTGAACCAAGGTGTCCGGTAGATTGTACACTGACAAATCAAACACTAAGGTATTGTGGAAATTGGCTATTTTTAAACATTTTATTATGTTAAAAAGAAACCATAAACTTTATACATAGAGAATAAACTTAATATACATATATGTAGTAATTGGGGTATCTTACAGTCCCATACTTGAGGATGAAGAAAAATCCCTTTCTGATTGTTCACTTACACATCAATCACACCATTATTTTTAATTCGTAGTTCATTATTAATTCTAAAATCCTCACCAACTTTCAAACCCAGCAACTAACAAATGATACTTCAAATCAGTACTATCTGGGCAACAATGGGGCTATGAGACATACAGGTAGTCCAGGCTCTTTCTACTATATTATACACATTATGAATGAGCTCCTAAAACTCTTAGTTCCCCTTTTAAAACTCATTATTTTGTTGAACTTCTACTAGGTGTGTTTTAGAAGCAGCCATGCTGTATCTGTTACTTGCATTAGACTAAAACTGACAGGAGAGTACAGGACATACAAACATTACAGTTGCTTAAGGTACATTATCTGAATTTTATCCTCCACTTGCTTCATAGGCTGATGGCAACAGAATGTGTCTTAAAACCAGGCCTAGAAATAATGGTTCCTGAACCCAAAAGTACAGGATATAAGCACCAACTTAACATTGGGATATGTCACTTTCCACTGGGATAAAACATAGGATCTTAGAGGGAGCTGAACAATCCAGCGAGAAATGTAACAGAATAATGCAAGAAGTTAGATAAGACCTATCTTGGGCACCGGAAGAAACTTTTTACCACGTTCTGGACGATGAGGTGAGATTCTCCCTACAGAGCAGTAAGTTGCCTGTTAAGGGGAATTATTGCTTGCTAGCAAACTGCATGCTAAACATTCTCAATAAAGAAGTCAGAACACTCATTTGACAACTTGCTTCAAAGAACCTATATGTTGGAAACCAGGCACCAGCCTGTCAGTGCATACTCCATGGCCACTTGCCAAATGCACCCATAGTCCACGGATATTGGGATCTAATGTGTCAGCTGCTAAAAACCCTCATGGCAAATCTCTGATCCACTTACAGTGCACTTCAATGCTGCACCTTAGATGAAATGGCAGCTATTGTAATGTTGCAAAGGATACTTGGTGCTCAGGGGCATACACCTAGCTGATGGCTTGTACCAGACTTCATCTGTGAGTTGTTCACTTGTTCTAATAGGCTCAAAGTGAGTGACTGCCACTTGGATGCTCACAACACCCTATCTTGGTGGCCAGTCTTACAGAACTTGACTCTCATATCTATGCTGACATCAAAAGTATACAGAGTTTGATTCCAGAAAATTATTACTCCTACATACTTGTACTTACCCTCATGTCTTCCATGAACATAGGGAAGATGTAATTGCCAAAGTAGCTTAATAATGCCTGCCATGGCAATAGCATATTGCAGGGAAAGCTGTGCTATATGTACATTGTCTATCCTTTCCAAATTCTAAACCAATAGTAATTATTGAAACTTCTGAAGGAAAGCTGCTTTATCAATCTTCCATCAATGTTCCTAGCCATTCTAGGAGAAATTCTTTTCCTTACAAATGTAATATAAAATCAAAATACTGCTGGATACTGGAAATCTGAAGTAAAAACAGGAAGTGCTGGAGAAACTCAGCAGTTTAGGCAACATCTTTGGAGAGAAAAATAGAGTTAACATTTTGAGTCCAGGATGATTTCTTTGACACTATATAATGTTGACTGGCAGTTACAATCTGCCTTATTGAATCAATAATAAATTTCTCATAAAATCACAGTTTTGTTTATCAGTGGAGATACAATACTGTGTTTGAACATGTTCATGATCATAGTTTCTACAGTTGTTCAAATATTACACACCCAATCAGTAATCAACGTATCATAATCACCATGTTATCCTCGTATCTATAATCCAACATTGCATCTACAGCTTAGAAGAATGAGAGATCTAATTGAAGAATTTAAGATGCTAAAGGTGATTAACAAAGTTGATATAGTGAGGATGTTTCCTTTTGTGGGGCATCATAGAATGAGAGTTTGTAGTTTTAGGATAAGGGATAGCAGGTAGCAGATTTAAAACAGAAGAGGAGAAATTACTTTTCTCAAAGGTCTGTGAATCTGTGGAATTCATTTCCCCAGAGTACAGTGGATGCCAAGATGTTGAGCAAATTTAAGGAGGAGTTTGAGAGATTTTTAATTACCTTCCACATGTAATGTAATACCACTTAGCTTTTTTATAATTTTTGCCTCTGTGCTGTAAAACATAGACAATTGAGCTTGCCTTATATTTGGAAAAGCTCTCACAATTTAAGTGCAAACATGAGTGTAACTTCTCCTCACCTCATATATCCATGACAGTGTTACAGATTTCATATACAAAAGGCTTTAATTTGGTTTCAGCGGGTTCCAGAGCGGAATCTTCCCAGGCCATGAAGGAGGTGGGCCATGATTCAATCAGATACCAAAAAAATGTTAAGTAGTCAGAAAATTAGGAGAGGTAATTAGCAAAAATTCTAAAACCAGATTGTAAGATATTCTATAAATATGTGAAAGGAAGAAAGTGGCAAAAGTAAATGTGGATGACCTAGAAATGAGACAGAAGTTATAATGTGGAATTAGAAAATGGCAGATACATTAAACAAATAATTTGTATATCTCTTTAGAGTAGACGACACAGAATCATACCACAAATAATGAAGAACCAAGGGTCTAATATATGCTGAGAGTAACCTTGTTCTCATACAACGTATTACAGCAAATGTACTAGAGAAATTAGTGGGATTGAGAGTCAGCAAATTCTCTGGAGCAAATGGCCTGCATCCTAGGGTTCTTTAAGAGGTGGCTGCAAATGTACTGGTTGTAATCTACCAAAATTCTTGAGGTTCTGGAATAGACCCAATGGATTGGAAGGTAAAAAATGTAATATGGTACTCAGGAAAGAAATAAGCGAGACAACGAAACTTAGGACTATTAGCTTGATATTGGTCATCATATCCATCCATATGCTCACCCTGTCAACATCCTTTGATAAGGTTGACCAAATCCCCCTCGTCCACCACATTTCCTCTGTCAACCAGCTGGGTGGGACTGCACCAATGGCCTCTCAAATTTTCTTTTGTAGTGTGTTGCTGTCCCATGTAAGTACACAGGCCTTTTAAATTGTTCTGTGCTGCCACACACACATGGTATATAAGAGGGGTTGACATGCAAGGCATGTGTTGCAGCACTTGTGTTGCAGCATAAGGGAACTTTGACTGCACTCACCTAAGTTCCATTTTTGTCTATCTAATCACAGCCACCTACATTGGCTTTTCTTCCTATTCCTGCACATTATTTCTAGTGCACTATCCTTGGTCCTCCAATTTATTATCTATAAACTGTCCTTTAGCACCATAGTCTAAAAACATGGCATCAATTTTCATATAAGCTCAACCTTACTAACTTTTCTGGACACACTCACACACTTGCTAAAAATTATTAGGCAGCTTGTCCAACATCCAGTATTGGATGCACAAAAAAGTTCTCCAATTTACTATTGGAAGATGGAAACCATTGCCTTTGATTCACATAAGAAACTCTTCCCTACATTGACTCCATCCATGTTCCTGGCAACTTGTCTGAATCAGATTGTTCGCAACTTGCTGTCATATTTGTCCACAAAGTGAACTCACCACATGATCATTCTGTCATTCAGGCCACCAATTTCCACTTCTGTAGTAGTGTCCCACTCTATCCCTGTGTCAGCTTATTTACTGCTGTATTATGTACACTATATTAGCCGTATCTTTGTTAAGAGCTGACTTGACTTTTCTTATGCACTGCTGGCAGGTCTCCCACAGTCTACTCTCATCAAACCTGGGGTGAAACAAAACTGTTGCCTGTGCCCTTATTTACACCAAGTCCTGTTCACCCATCACACCTTTCCCCACAGGCCTACATTGCCCTTTATTAGAAAAAAATCAACCTTCCATAACCTTCTAAGATATCAACACACCTCTTATTTTGATTTCATGAGCATCCCTGGTTTTAACTGCTCTACTATTTTTGGTTGTACCTTTGTCCTCAACTGTGGAATTCACTCTCTAACCCTCTTCACCTCGCTTTCAGATCTTCCTTAAATATACCTCTTTTACCAACCTTTGGCCATATATTCTAATTTCTCCTTATGAAATTAAGTGTTACATATTGACGTAATATGTTCCTATGGAGCACCTTGGCAAGATTTTTTTCTTTGTCCTTACATGGGGCATAGCTATCACTGGCAAGGTTTTTGATACCTATCCCTAATTGCCTTTGAACTTGATAGACAATTTCAGAGGGCAGTTGAGAGTTAGCCACACTGCTGTGGGCCTGGAGTCATGTGCAAGTTGACCAGATAAAAATGTCAGACTTCCCTCCTAAAAGGGCACTATTATAACAATTGATGATAGTTCCATTGCTGAAGCTAACTTACATTCCAGAATTGTTAATTGAATTTAAATTTTACCAGCTGCCAAGGTGGAATTTCAAAACCATGTTCGCAGATGGTTATTCTGGATCTCTGGATTACTAGTCCAGTGGCATCACCACCATACCATCACCTTGCCCCATTCATTAAAGGTTCTATATAAATAAAAGTTATTGCTTTTAGCACCTGTTTTGTTGTCATTTGATCAGGTAAAATTGAGGCAAAAACATCTGCTTAAACATGGTATCATTACTGGCAACAGAATTCTGACCTAGACAACACCCAACCTTTATAGGTCGGATCAATTTATAAAAATTGAACAGCCAGTTTGTAAATATGCAGAGATTTTCTATTAAACCCTTAGTAGTCTGTACATGATGATGCATTATATTTATCTGATCCATATTTAGTAATTGCATCAAGTCCATTTTCACTTCTAGTGGGTAGGTATTAGGATTGAGAGAGCAATGCAGTTCTGAACACTTTATATTTATCCTACAACTCAAAGTTCAGATCATATGTATCAACAAGAATACTTTGTGGGTAGGGAAGGCCAACAACTTCCAATGCTATGCCAACCTGCCCAGCATATTCAGCTTTTCCAGTTTACCAAGACCATTTATGGACCAAAATCGAATAATCTTCCTCCCTTTTCAGACAGCAATAATCTTCCCAAAGACAATATAGCCATCCAAGATCATTAGAAGCAATACAACTCAAACTTCTCAACTGGAAGTCAATAGTAGGGCAAAACCATCCCTTAACAGCTTGAGAGATCAAATGTGGGTGTATTGCCATCACTTAGAAAAGCCTATCCATCAGATGAATAATAACAAGCTCAGAACAAACTTTGTGCCAAGCTCTATAAAGCTGGTGGTCGTAAAATCTCACTCAAACTTCCATAACTTTTACGAAAACCTCTCAAATTCCACAATACCAACACTATTCTTCATTAAATTGATTTGTTGCAGCTATAGAGGCATATCTCTCTCTATTCACTCTTGGGAAAATTCTCAGATGTACCCTTCTGATCTGTTTCCTATCTGTCAAAAACAACATCCTTCTATAGACCCAATGTGATTTCCAGCTATCCAAAGGAACCATCGACATTCAAGATGTCCAATAAAGGTGTCTGGAGCAATCCAGCTACTCCATAGAGCTGTTATTGATCTCTGGAAGGCTTTGACTCCATCAACCATTAAGCCCTTTGGAATGTTCTCCAGAAACTTGGCAGTCAAACAAAGTTTGGTACAATGCTGTGACCCTTGCATGACTATTACAGTAACTGTGCTTTGCTCTGTATTGGGGTCTAAACTCTGTTGTATCCTGACTAGAATCAAGCAAGGCTGTGTGATTGCACCATTTTGTTCACTATTCATCTCAAACCCGTCATGGAATTCATTTGTAATCAACTGCCACAATTTTGACTTAATGAGAGACTTAAATTATAAAAATTGAAGCAAACCCTAATCTTTTATATACACAAAAATAGAGTGTCTTACAAATGAAATGGCAATTTTTTGATCTGTATGAATATGCAGGATAACTTCAAAGTGATTAAG